AGTAGCAATTCTAAAATGGATGATGCCCCCACCCCACCCCCACCTCTGCTCATTTGCAAGTGAATGACTTTAGGCAAATCATGTAAGGCCTCCTGGCCTTCTGCTCCCTAATAAGATTATAGGCAGACAGGCATAGAGATTCTGTGGGCAGTGCCTGGTACACAGGAAACAATCTGGAGCTAGGCCCCCAATAAATCTGTAAGGCACTGATGTGCTGCTGACCCCCAAGTCTGTATCTCCCAGGTCTCATAACCCCCTCGCCACCAGTTCCAGGCTTATGTTTTACTACTGTTAGAATGGAGCGGGCTGTGGGCTTACAGGATGCCTGCCATCTCCTCGTGCAAGTCCTGCAGTGACTGCAGCAGGCCAGGCAGCATGAACTGGTGGTGGTGCTGGTGGTGCAGCTGTGCAGCCCTCACGCCCAGCACGTAGCGGTTGTGGTGGGCAAAGAGCTTCCACAGGCTGCGTACATATTTGTCTTTGGCCTTGTCTCGATCCTTGTCTGGCAGATGGGAGGTAAGAGGTGGAGAGGGACATCACACACACACACACACACACACACACACACACACACGAGCGCGCGCGCACGTGCACATGTGCACGTGCACATGTGCACTCATGCACACATGCAGGGGGTTGGTAATCCAGAGGCCCAAGCAACAGCCCCATCCCCTGGTCACCAGGGTTTTCTCACTGCCAGGAAGGAAAACCTCAGACCTTTGCTGGCTTCCTGGTACTTGCGCCTGGCCTGGGCACTATCACGAACCAGGGTCCGGTACTGGCTCTTTAGCTTTTCAATGTCCTGGCTGTGAGTCTGGAAGAAAAGAGAGTTCAGTGTCGGGAGGAGATCCTCAAGCCTTGGAGTCCCAGCTGAGCTAACGTCTTGGAAAAGTTATTATCCAGGCTGTCTGGTTAGCCAAACTCATCCTTCTGGAAGAGTCGGGAGGCTTCTGGGGAAGCTGGCAGCTAAGGTCAGGATCAGAGGAGCTGAGTTATAAACATGCTGCTGAAGGAATTTGGGACGGGCCCCAACTACCTGATGGCAGGTAGAGTTGCCCTCAGGTATGCATATTCACATGACTCCACAATCAAAAGCACCTTGGGTTTACCTGGAACTCACTCTGTAGCCCAGGCTCAGACTTGTGGCAATCCTAGCTCTGGAGTGCCAGGATACTACACTCAACTTCACACTGAATTATTAGTACCTTAAAGATTTGTTTCATTGCATTTCCGTGGGTGTGTAGAAAGGCATGCCCACCAAAACCAGATGGGGCTGTTAGATCCCTGGGAATAAAGTCGTAGGTGTTTGTGAGCTTTGTTTGATGTAGGTTCTGGGATCTGAACTCTGATCCTCTGAGAGAGCTATCTCTCCAGCTCTTAAGAAACTACGCTCAGGTGTGTGTATACACGTGAAGATAGACGTGCACATGCTATAGCACACATGTAGAAGTCAGAGGATATCGTGTGGAACCCAGGGACCAAACTCAGGCTGACAGGCTTATCCGCAAGTGCCTTTACATGCAGAGCCATCTCACTGACCCTTGGTTTTCTTCTGTTCTTTTTTCTTTTATTTTTTAAGACAGGTGCTGCTCTATGGTCCAGGATAACCTGCAATCTTCTAGCCTTTGTTGCCTGAGTGCAAGGATTACAGTGCAAGGATTACACCTGGCTTGTGCAACTCTTAAGCTTCCAACATTTTTATTTTGCATAGGGTCCTGCACAGCATGTTCTTGGTAACAGGAACACTAGGTGGCAGCGACAGACTATAATTCTCTTGCTTAGGTGCTGGGACACAGTATGCACGTTTCTCCATCTGTAACTGATTAAATTCATAGGCTTGGCCAGCTAGTAAATATCTCAGGCATGTAAGCCATAGAGTCTGCAGAAATTACTTTATTCTGTCACTGAAATAGTCCTAAATGATGGGAGGACAGATGAGCATGGCTATGTTCCCACAAATGGGCAGACACTTGAATTAGAACTGAGTTAGGAAAGGAAGGTGGACCACAGGGGGGCACTGTGGGTCTACGGTAAGACCTAGTTCTGTGGCGATGAAAGGGGTGTGGTCCTGGAAGGCTGACCAGTGAATGGGACACAAAGCAGTTACACATACCCCAGCCTATAATTGAAGAGCTGCTGGAATTCAGACCTAGGCAGGACTCTGCCTCTGGGGACCTGGGAGGAGGCATCCCAAGTCCCTCACCCCTGAGCTGTACTGATCTGAGCTCCTCTGAGGGAAGGGCTAGCCTCACCCGTCCTGGACTTCAGCCCTCTGCTCAGGCACAGAGAAAGCACTGATAGGCTCTGTGGCAGGTTAGCCTAAGTTGTCAGAGGGAAGGAGGAAGCTGCAGCAGGGCCAGACAGGCCATCCTGGAGCCAGCGACTTCTGCTTCCCTAGGCACTCTTGCACAAAACTGTTCCTTATTGTGACAGAGTCCTCTTGGTGCACACCTACCTTGGTGAGCTCCTGTTGCAGCTGCTGCCACTGCTCGTTGTAAGTCTTTCTCAGGTGCTGTCGCTCCCGGATCAGCACACTCAGCTTGCTCAAGGGCCCTGAGTTCAGGTCTTCTGCATGCTGTCGCAGCACGCGGCTCAAATTCTCCGTCTGGCTTGTTATCTCTGCCCAGGACTATGGCAGTGCAGGATGGGGAAGCGGGAAGAACATGACAACGGCCCCCAAGCCTGGGCTTGCCACATCGCCAAGCCCACTTGTAAGGGTTTGGGGAGATGAGGGTGGGTGGAAGCTCACCTGGCTGACGTGGCTGTCAGGACCACTGCTCCAGCTCTGGCCTCCGCTTTCCTGCAGGGCCATGTGGTGAAGCAGCCCTGCATATTCCCGGTCACTCTTGACCCTCTGGGCCATCCACTTCCTCATGCCCTCCAGCAAGCGGAGCTCAGCTTCCTGCATCTGCTGCACGGCACCATGACCCTGGGGGCTGCACAGCTCTGAAGAGAAGCCCATAATGGTGTCCTGGGGACAGAGACCAGGTCATTCAGTGGAGACAGAGTAGCAGCTGGAGATGGAAGAACAGGAAAAAGAGGCTAAGGGCTAGTAAGGTCAAAGAAGGCTACAGGCAGGACATGGGTGGGGTCCTGCCCAGCAGAAATACCAATAGGTACAGACAGCAGCCTGGGCTGGGGACGGCCCTTGCTGCTTCCTGTGTGCTGGGCCAGGTCCCAGAGCCAGTGGTCCCTTTTCCAGGAACCAGCCTGGAGAACCCGACTAGGGTCCATAACCTACACTGTTCCTCGATGTTACTGGACCCTGAATCAGGGTCCACGACAGTGCTGTTTTCTGGACGGTAGCGTCAGGGAGCCACAGAAGGAATCATGCCACTGGGCTCTCCCGTCCTTCCCAAGCTCCTAGCCCCACCCCAACAGGTTTCAGGCTCCCAGAACATCTGCCTGGCCCCTTTTCAGTGCCCACCCACTGCCACCCCCTGCCTCACATAATGTCCTGAACTTCCTTGGTAGAGTTACCGTTCCCTTTCGTGGGGCGGCTGCTCCCCGGGGCAGGCAGCAGGGGACCAACTCGACAGGCCCTGAACCCACTCAGCTCAGTTCCTGATTACCAGCTTCCTCCTCCGTGGTTTCAGTTGCCTCAGGCCCCCAGGGCGGGTCCACTACAGGGAAGGGGCGGGCTGGAACTCACAGGCCCCCCTACTCCCCACTCTGCATGCCCTGGGCTATAGCCTACAGAGGCAGCTCAGCCACGGAAACGGAAGGGAGGAGGAGGCCGGCAAAGAATGGCCATGCCTGTGCACCAGACACTCCCAAGGGCCCTGCAAGGTCCAGTGAATACGGGGGAAGGGACCCAGAATGGAGTGGGCGTGGACTGAAGGTGAGGCCCCACCAAAGAGTAGCACCCAGGGTGAGCAAAGTCTGGGGGACAAATGTGAGTGCTGGCAGCATGCTAAGGTGTCAGAGGGATGCAGGAGAGGAAGGAGACCGAGTCCTGTCCCTGTTCTGGATTCCCTAAGGACAGACAGCTCAGGCGCCAGCCTCTATTTGAATATAAAACTTCCAAATAAATATCCTAAGCAGAGGCTCCAGTAACACCATTTTATCTCCGAGGCCTTCGGTCTCAATGGAAGCCTGGGCCAACACAGGGTAGGACCGATGAGAAGCATGCATTTTCCCAAGGGTTCCCCCAACCATGTAGCCCTAGTGTGCTCTCTATTCCCCTCCCCCTTTTAAAAAAGTCTATGTAGCCCAGGCTGCCCTGGAACTCAATATGTAGACCAGACTGGCTTCAAACTCAGATCTGCCTGCCACTGGGTCCCAAGCTGTGATTAAAGGTGAACGCCACCACAGCCAGCTCCACTTCTGTGATAACCACATAACCAAAGGCAGCTCGGGGAGGAGAGGATTTATCTGACTTATGGATAGAGTCCACTATTAAGGAAAGCCAGGGCTTGCTTAACCAGTAACCATGGGAGATTACTGCTCACTGGCTAGCTTAGCCTGCTTTCATAAACACCCCAGAACCCTTGGCTAGGGGTGACCACTCGCCTCCCACAGCGTGCGGTGCCTTTCCGCCTCAGTCACTAGCAAGAAAATGCTTCAGACTCGCACAGGCCAATCTGATGGGGCAGTTTCTCAATTGAGGCTTCTCTTCCAGATGATACTAGGTTGTGTCAAGATGACTGCCCACCCTCCCCAACACACACACTAACACACACACATACACTCACACACAATACTAACAAGCAATCGTCTTGGTTCATTCAGGCTCCCCTTAGACCTCACTCTGTAGCTGGTGGCCAGGTCATCTCACTTGCCCTACCCTTTAGGCTTATCTCCAGTTGCTGAATTCTTGCACAGGAAGCTGGTGCACCTGCTCTAGACAGGAGGCCCCTTGGAAACATTTAAGCCTTCTGACTTAGGCCCATTAGTAAAGACACCACTGAGCCAATTGGCCTCCCCAGTTCCCATCCTTTCCCCCAGGTGAACACAGTAAAGAGTCCTGGGAAGGGCATAGCACACGACAGAGACCAGGCTTGGTTTGCATAGTCTGCACGTTTAATCACTTTAAAACCTCTAACATTATCTTGTGTCCATTAAATAGAACCAACAATACCAGGCCCATTTAAATTACAAGGAAAAAAAAAATCACTGTGCACCAGCCCAGTATCTTACAAAACCAGCCAGGATGGCCACGAGGGGTAGGCAGGAGAGGAAGGGGCACCCCTGGGCAGGTAGGCTGGGTACCAGGAAGGGCTGGGGAAAAGAAAAACAGGCTCCCAGGTGGGAGGGGACTGATTGTCCTAATGGGAGGGGTGCAAAAGGCACATCAGAAGAGGGGCTCAGGGGATCGTAGGCAATGCTTTCTCCACCAGGACACAGTGTTAGAAAGGGCTGGATGCTGCCACCTGCCCACCCCAGCACCGGAGAGCCAGCAACCCATAAGCCCTTGGCACAACCCCATTTGAAACACAGATGTCAGTCTACCCTCCTACCATGGCCCCCTTTCCAGAGCTCACCTGGCCAGCCTGCCTCTTCAGGACATGGGGCTTAGTTATTCCCTACTCCTCAGCAACATGCTGCAGCCCCTACACCTCAGGGCTGGGCAGCCATGGGGAGGGCAGGATGGGCATGGGTGTGAGGAGGTGAATGGTCCAGCTGCTACCCCCATTAAAAATACAAAAAAAAAAAAAAAAAAAAAAAAAAAAATCAGCATCTAAAGTGAAATAATCACAAAGTGAAAATATATCCTCAAACAGCTCCTGAGATCCCCACAGGGGAAAGCAGCATCGGGTGGGAGGCGGGAGAAGCCGGCTGGGCTACCGTCCATTCCCACCACCCACCCAGGGGCTCCGGTACTGTGAGTGCCAACAGCCCAGGCAGCCCCGGGCTCAGAAAACAGGGCCCTGACAGGGGGCAAAGGTGCCATACAGGATGGTCAGGACACCAGCTTAAGGGCCCCAGAGCTTCAGCTTGGCCCGTACCAGCCTAGCTCATCCTGGCTACGGGCTGGAGGCCAGGAGTGCAGAGGCAGGCTGAGAGCATGTAAGTATGGGCACGCTGGAAAGTGCCTGCTTTGCTTTGGTCCCTTCCTACAACTGCAGCTTCTGCAGAGGCTCATCCATGAGCCAGAGGGTCAGGGATGCAAAAGCCCTTGGAGAGGTGACCACCTTCTTCAAGTACCTCCTGGCCAGCCTCTGTGTTGCCTGGATGGGGACCATTATTGCTTTCTGAGGGGCAGGAAAGGGGCGGGGCTGCAGCCTGGTCAAGGACCCAGAGAGAGGCTGTCCCTCTTCACTCGCAGGAACTCCAGCTGGGCCTTGGAAGCTGCCCTAAAGATTTGACTCCTTTCTCCACGTGGAGGGATGGTAGGGGTGAGGCCCCTGTGGCCCCACCTCAGGCATACAGGTAGGCCCAAGGGTAGGGTAGGAAGCAGTGTCTGCCCCTCTCACCTCCCAACTAGGGTCCAAACCCAGTCCCAAGATAAAAAAATACTTTGGTGAATTAAAAAGTGCCCAAGAAAGGGATTAATTTGATGGGGTGGGCAGTGGGCTCGTCAAAGGGCGCTCTGGTCTTTGATAAAGGCGGTCCTCTCGCCCCGGCCCTCATCCTCTTCTGAGTCAGATGGGCACTCCTCCTGCCAGGCTTCAGGGGGCAGCCCCTTGTAGGAGACGAGGCCACGGTCCATGGTGTACACCTTCACTCCCCGGAAGCTAAAGCCTGAGCGCAGCTGCAAGACCAGGAAGACAGTGCCAAAGACCAGCACGATGAAAACGCAGCTGAGGCCGGCCACCACCTCAGGCAGGTGAGAGGGCAGCAGCCCAGCCTGCAGCCGGGGCCCCACCTCCACCTCTGGATGCAGTGCAGGAGGCTGCTGCTCAGGCCGAGACTCTCGGCTGCTCTGGCTTTGCCTGGAGCAGGTTTGCTCCACAGGGTCCAGGGAGGCGTGGCTGGGGCAGCTGAGGCAGTCTGTGGGAGCTGGGCCCTGGCAAGTGGCGCATGAGGCATGACAGGGAGTGCAGACGCTGGCGCGGATGATCTCCACATCATTCTCAGTGCTGTAGTGTGTATCAAGGACCTGGGGTGTGAAGCCTGGTGGGCAGTGCTGGACACAGCTTTTCTGGTGCAGCGAGAAGCCTTCCTCACACACTGCCAGCACAAGAGAGGAGGGTGAGCATTAGTCAAATGGATTGTGGCCTCTAAGCCATTGAGCCCTCCACCCAAGGTCCAGGTGGTTCTACAGGCCTACAGTCCCCAGGAACCTTTTTTCTTTAGCTGCCTGAATGTCCCTGTCCCCTCTGACTCCACTGCTCCAACGCCATTCCCCCCAACTTTCCCAGCCTCAACCACATCCACTACTGACCCACACAGGCCTGGCTGGACGTGAGGGTTTTGCAGCCGCTGCTTTCAGGTGGAGAGAGCCCCTCAGAGGCTGTGCCATATAGTACAAGAGTGAACTTGGTCAGCGTCCCTATTCCAGAGTTGGTAAGAGACAAGGGTCAGGGTGTGAGCACTATGTCAACATCCTAGAGCCCACCAGCTCTCCTTCCCCTCCTCCACTCTCCAAGTGCCTCCAATACCATAGTTGTTGGCTTCGCTGGTATTTTCAATCTCTAGGACCCATTCGCCAGAGGGGTCCTCATCCCAGGAATGAGTTGTCATGAAAGCCCAGTCATTAAAGCCATCAGCGGAGTAGTCGTGGGGTCTGGAGGAAGAGAGTTCCATGTAGCCATCTGAGGTCTAGAGGGCACACCCAGCCCATGACATACCGGACACACCCTACTCTCCCCATGGGGCAACCTCAGACTGGAGATGCTTCTCAGATGTCCTTATCCAGGGGACTATTTCACAAGGGGACACACACAAATGGTATGGTAAATGGGTTTTAAGGCAAGGGTTCCTGTGATGAGGTAGTCCCAAAGGACATGGCTATCCCTCCTCAAGTGTCACTGCTGCTCGCTAGAGTCTTGGAGATAAGATGGAGAACGAACCAGGAAATGAGATGCAAGGGGACATGATGAGCACCTGGCAGCCAGTAAGGTGGAACGGGTGCCCATGGGGCTGATAAGGTGGATGGCCAGATCACCACGGCGATTGTAAGACAGGGTGAGCCGTGCCTGAGCATGTTCCAGCCGGGTGATGTGGTTGGGCTCGCCCAGGCACGCGGTCACGGATTTGCGCACCTCTAGCTGTTTGCCAATGTCCCTGTACAGAAAGCACCATGTGAGTGGTCGGCAGGCCAGGAGTGACCCGTGGCCACCCCAGAAGCTCTCAGGCCCCTTCTACTCCCTCCCACTCAGGTCCAGTCATTACTTGGGCTCCACCAGGATGTCAATGATGCACTTCCGCTGGGGGGCCACTGTTGTCCAGTTCTGGGCCAGGGCCACCATGGCACCTGCATCCAACAGCCCGTAGCCATACGAATGGCTCACTGTGGAGGCAGGGAAGGGTCAAGAGGGATGCAAGAGAGGCCCCACCCTATCTCAGAGCCTGAACTCTGGGTCACCATGCCCTCACCTTTCCGGCCCACACCATTGGTGGCCCAATCATTAGCATTGAGGTGGGCTGGCTTAGAGGTCTGAACCACCAGGTGCTGCATGTCCCGCCACGTGAGGTTCTTACTGTCAAGGAGGGAAAGTCTAGGGTCAGGCTTTGTGGAACATAGCTGGAGACAACAGCTCCTTCACAGAGCACTGGCAGGGGTAGGCTGTCGCCTGCCTACTTACTTGGCCTCTAGGGTGAGAGCAATGATACCCGCTGCCAGCGGGGCAGAAGCTGAGGTGCCTGTGTGAGATTCTGTGCACTTCTGCCTCAAGTCAGTTGTCACCTGCCAGGAAACAAAGGGGTTGAGACCTCGATGGATGTTGGAGGGAGTCAAGGAGCTACCTGCCTGTCCTGCTATAGGCCCTGGGTACCCCAGATGGCATGGTGAATCAGTAAAGACACTTGGGTCCCATCTTCTTCCTTGCTAACACGCACAGCCCCTCCCAGGAGCAAGTTTCTCAAGGAATGAGGTGAATCAATTAGAGGTTGGAGTACAAGGCATGTACTCGATCAGGGAGACCCTATACTTCTCAGGAGTTCAGAGATGGTTTTACAGCCCTCAAGAGTTCAAGAGGAACCACCAGCTCACTGTGCACATTGCAGAAGGCCTAACCAACTCTTATCTGACCACATAGGGATGAGGGCAGATGAGGTCATGGAGCCCTGTGCAGAGAACAAGAAGCCTTCCTTCCCAGCCCCCGCCCTGGGTGAGACTCACGATCTGCTTCTCATTCTGGTTGCCACTGCTGTAGGTGGTGGCCAGCGTGGAGGAGCAGGCCTCACTGTACCAGGGCACGTTGCCAAACTGCGTGGCACTGCTGATGGACAACGTGTAAATGCTGTTGGTGTAGCCATCACAGTTGCAGCTGTCATGTTCCCGGCCCCCGTTCCCTGAGGCCCAGACAAAGATGGAGCCCAGTCCCCCACGACCCTGTGAACAAAGTGGGCTGAGGTTACTCAAGATGGGGTATGGGTTGCAGGGTTGGGGGGAGGGCAGGTAGGGGATACGGAGGTGTAGTAGGAAGATGCTTATAGCAGTCTAGGAAGATGGGACCCTCCATCTCTGAGTATTCTGAGCTCATTTCTTAGATCCACCCAAAGATCCCTATAGCTCAATAAATATATGTATGTATGTATGTATGTATGTACGTACGTACGTACGTACGTACTTAGGTCTGTGCATAAAATCAAATTAGACTAGGTTCACCACAAAATGCTTAGAGTGAGGATCCCCACAGAATGGGATAATGCATGGTTTGTTTTTTTCTGTCTCTTAATTTAAACTAAAAAATTATTATATGTATATGTTCATGCATGCCATGGTACCCACAGAGAACAACTGTGTAGAACTGCTTCTCTCCTTCCACACTTATATGGGTACTGGGGCTTGAACTCAGGTCATCAAGCTGTGTGCCATCTCTCTTATACCCTGTCACTTATTACCTGTGGTGGTGCTGAGATCAAACCTATGGTCTCATATTGGGGATGTAGCTCCATGGCAGAGGACCTGCCTAACTAACATATACGCTGCCTAGACTCAATGTAACATTGCAAATCCTTGCCCCAATTTAAAAAAAAAAAAAAAAAAAAAAAAAAAACAGGCTGGAGAAACAGCTCAGCAGTTAAGGGCACCTGTTGCTCTTGCAGAAGTCCTGGGTTTGAGTCTCAGCACCCTTATGGTGGCTCCCAATCATGTGGCACCCATACATGTAGGCCATTAAAACATTTACATACACAAAATAAAAATAAATAAAATTTAAAAAAATCAGGAACTTATACATTGTCAGTCTCCAACTCCTTAAAATGTTTTAATAACATTTAGTTTTTAATTTTTTTTAATGTGTGTTGATATTTTGCCTGCATAAATCTGTGTGAAGGTGCAGATTCCCTGGAACTGGAGTTACAGTCGGTTGTGATCTGCTACATGGGTGCCGGGAATTGAACTTGAGTCCTCTGGAAGAGCAACTAGTGCTCTTAACTAGAGTCATCTCTCCAGCCCCTAAAATTTATTATTTAAGATTTTATTTGTATTTGTGTGTTTTGCCTGTATACATGTACATGCATTACACATGTGTCTGGTGCATTCAGAGGACAGGAGAGGGCATCAGATCCCTGGAACTGGAGTTAATGATGGTTGTGAGCCACCATGTAGATTCTGAGGACCATACCCACGTCCTCTGCAAGAGCAGTCAGTGCTCCTTAACTACTGGGACATTTCTCTGGCTTCTGTAACATTTAATTTTAACACTTTTGTCAATAATAAACACAAGAGTCGGGCACGGTGGTGCACACCTGTAATCTCAAGAGTCAGGAAGCTGAAGCAGTAGAATTACTAAGTTCCAGGCTAGCTTGGGTTACATGGTTACATGGCAAGTTACAGGCCAGTCTGAACTACGTAAAAGACCTTGTCTCAAAAACAAGGGCCAAGAGGTGGTGGCTCACACCTTTAATCCCAGTACTTGGAGGCAGAGGTAGATAGATCTCTGTGACTTTGAGGCCAACTTTGAGGTCTACAAAGTGAGCTCTAGGAAAACCAAGGCTGTTACACAGTGAAACCCTGTCCTGGAAAACGAAAAGAAAGAAAGAAAAACAACAACAAAAAAGAATAAATAAAATAAACAAGGAAGAGAGCAAATGGAAAAGACAGAACTCAGCCAGCCTGATTTCCAGGGTGGCACTGGACCCCCACCTCACCTCACCTGGCTAACTCCCCGAAAGAAGGCCTCCTCAGCGAGACGGGCTGGCCCATCCACGGTCTTGCCATCATCCTCAGGGCCCCAGCTGGCGCTGTAGATGTGGATGTGGTTGGGGTTCAAGCCCAGCGAACGAGCCTCTACTGCGTCGGTCACCTCACCATCCAACATGCGCACCCCTGGCCGCAGAGGGGGGTGGGAAAAGGGATCTGCATGGGTCCAGCTGCCAGGGGCACCCATAGGCACAGGCCAGCCTGAACCCCAAGGAGGAGCAAGAGAGAGGAGATGCCAGTGCTGGGAAAGCTCCCGTCTATTGTCTACCATTGCCTCTTACGAGCAGGACCCAAAGGAGAGGAAAGGGGGTACCCTTTTCCCCAAGCCACACATTCTTCATTAGAAAGAGTCTTGGGCCTCAGAGGAGCAAGGGGTCCAAGGCTGTGATATGATTAAGAGACTTCTGCTAAGAGGCCCCTACCCCACTCTATCATGCTACTAGCATGAGAGTCCAGCTTTTCCATAGACTAGCATGCTGCCAAAAGATCCATCGTGGAAGGTGGCAGATAGGCAGAGAAAGCTTCCAAGAGAGGCCCCCCCCACCTTCAATGTGGACCCAGGGCCAAGGCTCATACCCACCTCCAATTCGTGCGTTGTAAGCTACACCTACACCACAGACACCATTGTTGGCTACTGCTGCCACTTCACCTGCACACCGAGTGCCGTGCCTGCCGGGATCAAGAGCACAGCATTGGTGGGGTCGGACAGAGTGCAGCAGATACAGGGTGAGGAGTGGGAAGATCAGAAAGAACCCTGAGCCACATCTGTCATTCCATGTGTGTGCACAGTACTTCCCTGTGGGGCCAACATCCTCTTTGCTCTGACCTGGATCCTGGTGTGGTGGATCTCTGAGTTTGAGGTCAGCCTGGTCTACAGAGCAAATCCCAGAACAGCCAGGGCCACATATGGAAACCATGTCCCCCCCAAAATAAAACTTCCTTGGAAGACCAGGACTATAAACAAACACTCAATTGTGCGTTTTTTCTTTTTCTTTTCTTTCTTTTTTTTTGAGACAGGGTTTCTCTGTGTAGCCCTGGCTGTCCTAGAACTCACTCTGTGGACCAGGCTGACCTGGAACTCAGAGATTCTCATGCCTATGCCTCCCCAGTGCTAGGATCAAAGGCGTGTGCCACAACCCCTATCTTGGTTTTTATTTTAATTAATTAATTAATTAATGCATTTATTTATTTTTTTGAGATAGGGTTTCACTATGTAGCCTAGCTGGCCTAGAACTCACTATGTAGACCAGGCCTCAAACTCACAGAATCTGCCAACCTCTCCCTCCCAAGTGCTGGTTAGATTAAAGGAATATGCCACCATGTCCAGAAAGACTTCAGTATTTAGGTGGGACACGTGACATCAGACTCACCCTTGTGTCCTTAATGGGTAAGAGGGAAGAGGCTCAGAGACCAGGCACTTAACATTTCTCACCTGTTGTCATTCATCTGTGTATACCGAGGCTGAGGGTCAGGGTCCTGGTCATTGACATCAAAACTGGCTCCAGGATCCTGTAAGAACAGGGCCATCATCAGGGGCTCCCTAACCACACTGAGGGAACAGAACAGTCCCTAGAAACCCCACCCAGGGACCACTACCACTGTCCTCCATTCCTCACATAATTGCCTGCCAAGTCGGGATGGTTCTTCTCAATGCCGTCGTCCAGGATGGAGACCACTATGCCGTGACCGGTGAAACCCTGGGCCCAAGCCTCCTTCACATTCAGGTCTCGCTGCGTGACACCAGACTGCAGAGACAGCCAGCCCATAATAACTACAAATATCTGGAACCCATTCCATCCCAAACCCCCAATCAACACCTATTCCAGCTCTTAAAATGCCACTCCTGGTTTCCACTGGAAATGTATAGATTCTGGGAAGGCAGGGTGGACTAGAGCAGTAGTTCTCAACAACCCTCTATCTCCAGAAATATTTACAGTATAATTCATAACAGTAGCAAAATTACAGTTATGAAGTAGCAAGGAAAATAATTTTATGGTTGGGGGTCAGCACAACAGGAGAACTGTTAAAGGGCTGCATTAGGGAGGTTGAGAGCCACTGGGTTAGTGAGCCTCATCCACTCACAGCACCTCACAGTGGTGTGGGGAGGAAGACCAGAGCCCCAGGAAGCAGCATACCAGGTACCACTGCTGGGGAAACTTGGGGTCAGTGGGCTCCTGATACACGTCCCTCTTGGTCCTCCGTTTTGCTACCTGTTGCTCCAGCCACTTTACCTAAGAATGACACAGACAGCACAGATGTGTGGGAGAGCTCAGAAGAGAAGCAGTGGCAGCTGGAAGGGCCAGGGCCACACTTACTTGAGGCTCTCTCTGTAGCCGGCTATGTCGCAGGCGGTGAGGTGACAGGGACCGCTTTGTCACCGCTCTATGCCTAAAGTGGTAATAGTCACCGAAGATCTGCAATAAAGCAGTGAGATTGAGAGGAGCCTTCCATCTGCCAGTCCCTGGGGGAGGGAGACAAGGGGGTGGACAAGGCTGCTGGGGAGGCTCACAAAGACAAGTGGGGGGGGACATCTGCTCTCTGCCTAAGACCCACGAGAACACGCAGGGGATAGAGAGGGACACCCTCATTGAGATGTGCTGGGTTTTCTAAGCGACCTATGATAAAAGCCCACTAACACACAGACCCCTTCCCAGCCACCCAGAATCTCCTTCTTGTCCAGATGCCCTGGAAGACAAACTCTACTTTATGGTACAAAAGTTCCTGCCCTTACCCTCCCCACCACAAGGGGAAATTACATCAATAGGCCAGGTGAGAAGCCTACCTGGCCCAGGTTGTGGAACCCATGCTTCCGTGCCACGCTGTCAGCCACAGCTGAACCTCCAGAGATGTGCACAGCCCAAGTGTTGGTGAAGACCTTTTGGCCACGAGCATCAGCTGCTAGCAGGATCAAGGCTCCTGCTGCTGCTACCACCCATAGCAACCAGGGCCTCAGCTCCATGGGGGGGCAGATGACTGGGACCCCAGAGCTCCCGTCTCCCTGGCCTGGTCACAGGGCCTTGGCTAACTCGTGTCTGCTCACTGCCCGGGGCCCGGAGCTGACTGGCGGGGGCATGGGGCCGAGATGGGCAGGGCTGGGGGGCAGGATGAGGGCCGGCTCTGAGGGAGCAAGAAGAAGAAAGGAAGAAGTCAGTCTGTTCTCCTCACACACTAATACTGTCCTTCCTGTCTTCAAGGCTTAGTCAGGTGCTAAAAGGAGTTTCAGGGAGGTGGATAAAATAGACAAACACCTGACGGGCTGGAAAGATGGCTAAGCAGGGACAGTTACTGCTGCTCAAGCATGAGGACCTGAGTTTGGAGTCCCAGGAACACATAAAAAAGTAGGCTTGGCAGCCTGTGCCTATAACCCCAGCACCAGGAGCAGGGCAAAGACACAAGAATCCCTGGGGCTTGCTGGCTGGCCAACCTATCCAAATTCACAAGCTTAAGGCTTGGGAAGAGACCCTGTCTCAAAACAACAATGAAACAAAAACAAAAAAGCCCCAAAACAATGGTCAGGGTTGGAGAGATGGCTCAGTGGCTAAGAGCACATGTAGCTCCTGTGGAAAACCAGGGTTCTGGTTCACAACTGCTTATAACCCCAGTTTCAAGTAATCGAACAACCCCCCCCCCAGCCTCGACAGACAGACAGACACACACACATACACTGTCTCTGGAAGAATCCAGCCCCTACCCCTAAAGGTTAGCCAAGCAAGCACATGGACCCACAATCTCCCTTCACAAGCCTTTCTCCATTAAGAATACAATCAGGACTTGAGTCATTCAAACTAAAAAAAAACAAACAATACCCAAAGAAAGAAAGCTACATTATAAAAAGGCATGTACACATGATTTCATTTTGTTTTCTTAAAACTACACATGCATATTTATACATAAGCAAAACAAAATCTGGAAGGACACACACTAAAATGTTAACAATGGCTCTTTGGAGAGGGTCAGGATTATGAGTAGCACTATTTTTTTTTCTTTGTGCTATTGCATGTTCTCATAATACTTAGGTATAGTTTATAAAAGAATGACATGCTAGCTCTTTAAAAAACTCATTAGGTTCGCTGTGGGGGGTGTTTGGAAAGACTCAGTCTGAGAGGAAAAGAGTGGGTGACTTAGGTTGGGAGGGTCTGGGAAATCACAGATCCCTCTGAGCACAGGGATCCCTGAGGCCTCACTTCTCTCTAGGACTGAGATGACAGCCATCTTTAGAGGCAGAGCCCAGAGCTGCCCCCTTCTCCTGTTCCAGACCCACCACCTTGCGTAATCTGAGCCGGGCAGCCAGGACAAGCGCTGGCTGCTGTGCCAGGAGCACCAAGGTGAGGCTGAATCAATAGTCCTGAGTGTTGTTTTCCTCCTTCAGCAAACACACAGCAAGACCTCACTACCAGGGCCACGTAACAGTCCCCTTAAAGGGTCCCCAACTAACCACAAGCCAAGCTCCTGGGGCAGGTGGGAGCTAGGACAGACTCCAGTAGGCTGCTGGGGTACCCTGAGTCAATGCCAAGCTTCTGTGCCTGCCCAAGGACCCTCATGCCCCTGCCATCCCTGTGTTCCAGCCCCAGATGGTGAAAGAAGGGACCTCAGGACTCACTGCTCTGGGGAGCGGGACAGATCTGCTTGCCACTGGGAACCCCTTGATTCTCCAGGACCTACAACAGGCCTCCCTCACTGCTGCCACCTCACCCTACAGGCTCAGGGGACTCCACACACAATTCCTGGAGTATTTTCAGTTTACACCAAAATAACCTGACAGCTGATGGCAGGAGACACTCACAATGCAGAATCCATGCCCGAAGGGCAGAGTCCAAAGGGCTTCACAGACATGCCTGGGAGTTACAGCTCTACGTCCCCCTGGGAGATAAAGCCACTATGTGTGACTAACAAGGTGCTCCAGTGCTAAAGAGTAAAGGGACTCCAAGACCCCACGTAAGAAGATGTGGGGTTTAGAGGCAAAATCGTATGGAAACAGGGCCTGTTCTCTTGTCACAGCTAAAACCTCTTGGGTTTAGACATCAGGCAGACTCCCTGCCCAGTGATGGGAGACCTGCCTAGCTTCCAAATTACAGCTGGGTCTGTCTGGGTCTAGCTCAGGTTCCAGCAAACTGTAGATGGAGCCACAACTGCCTGACATTAAAGGTGATTAACCAACTATTTAATTACCCTGCAGCACTGCAAAAGCAAGCAATTGAGCTCCAGGCACAACTGAACAGGACAGGATCGCACCCCCACGCCCAAGAAAGGTGATCTGCCTCCTCCACCAAGTGTCCTCACCTACAAGCAGGGGTAATATATGGATTCCAGACATCAGATAGCCCTGCCTCATCATAAGACAGAGGATCACCCCCACCAACTCTTGAGCGAGCGCGCGCGCGCGCACGCACACACACACACACACGCACACACACACACACACACACACACACACACACACAGAGGAATGGGACTAAGAGCTGAGAACAATGAATGAACAGGCTTCTCCCCACCCCCATCCCAGACTCTGACTCACCCTCTGAGTCCCAGTTGTCTCAAACCAGGAGGCTGGATGTATTTCTAGCCTCTCTGGGTCAGTCTTGCCCAGCACTCAGCTTTAGGCCTGGCTACAGACTGAGCTATGGTGCGGTTTGTAGTAGTTTTCTTGGGCAAAGTCTTTTTCTCCCCCTCTACACCTGCCAACAGAGACAGCCACCCCAGATATCAGAGCTGCACCTACCACCAGGTGTGGCGGCTGTTTCCTGGTACCCGGAGACCTGGCTAAGACAGCCACAGAGAAAGTCACTGAAGTCTGCTGGGAACCCACTCGGGTCTCTTTCCAGCAGAGACTCCAAGTCAGGTCCTGTTACAGGCACACTGACATTCCCATAAAATTCTAACTCCCAGTCCCGGCTTAACTACTGCTCCCTGCCTGGTCTTTTCCTCTTTCTGGGCCTCAGTTTCCTTGGTGGTTAAAAACTATTAAGCCAGCGGTTTTCAAACTTTTTTTTTTAAGCCAATGAATCCTCTTTTTAAAAATGTAAATATTAGATACAAGCCCAAAGTAGAAAACAAACAGACTCTGCTTGGCCACTCTCCTTTGCTGTGTCCACACCTGGCCAGCAGCCACAGGCCCTCACTGGGCCACATCACCTGTGTTGCCTTGGTACTTCCCAAGTCAGAGAGAACCCCAGCGCCCCAGAGAGATGAAAGTCAAGCCGGCTTCCCCCAGGCGCAAGGACCAGGGGCGGTGGGAAAGTAGGCACTGGACCAGACTGGGGTCTGCCGTCAGACCTGTCTGGCGAACAGGCCGCCCCTCGATCAGCCACCCGACGGGGGCAGCAGGGGCCTCGGCCAGGCCTCGGCAGGAGGCAACCCAGACCTCCCCAAGCCGGCCTGCGCGCGCCCGCCCGCGGATCCCGCCCCCGACTGCTCCGGCCGCACAGGTGTGCGGGCCGGCCGTGGACCCCGTGTCCTACCAGAAGCGCGTCCCGCGGGGCACAGGCCCGAGCCGCCGGGGCCCCGGAGGACGGCGGGCAGGCGTGAGCACCCAGCACCCGCGGAATGGTCTGCCCAGCCCGCCCCAACAGGGGCCCCGCCGGCGTTTCCTGAGGTCAGAGGGCTCGCCCTGGCCCCAGCGGAAAAGTACCGGCGCGGGCCCAAGCCCCGCGCTCAGGTGGGCTGCGTTGCTCCCGTCCTCCCACCGCGGCGGCCGGGAACCCATGGCCAGAGCCCGGCGGCCGGCGAGGCCCGGGGCTGCGCCGCCCGGCTCCGCGCTCCCCCGCCCGTTCCGGGCCCGGCTCCCCGGCGAGCCGCCTCCCCGGCCCCGGGCCGCGCGCCCTCGCCGCTTACCCTGGGGAGCCGAGTGGGGAAACTTTTCCGGGCGACCGCCGCGGCTGCTTGGGTGCCCCTCGGCCGAGCGCGGAGCCCGGCGGCGGGGGCCTGGCTCGGGCGGTCCCCGCGCCCGGCAGCGGCGTCACGGCGCGCAGGCGAGGAGGCGCGGCGGCGCGGCCTCGGCCCGGCCGGAGACCAGGGCAAGGCTCGGCCTGGGCTCGGGCGCGGGCGGGGGCAGCGGCCCGGCCGCGGCGGCGCGGCTTGTTTACTCGGGCCGCTGTCACGGCGGCGGCGGCGGCGGCGGCGGCGGCGGCCCCGGCTCCTCCTCCTCCGCGCCGCGCCCCTCCCCCTCGCGGCGCCACCTCCGCGCTCCGCGGCCGCAGTCGGCCCGGCCCGCTCGCAGCCCGTGCCGGGCGGGCGTTCCGAGCGCCCCACGCGGCGGGCCCCGCGGCCTTAGGGCGCCCCGTCTACGGCTGCCGGCGGGGCGGGCAGGGAGCGCGGTTCCTGCGTGCCACCCCCAGGCCCCTCCGTCCACGCCGGGCTCGGCTCTCGGCCCCGCGAATCCCCGGGCAGGAGGTCTCAGAGACTCACACAGGGAGTGCGCGGGCGAGACGGCGAGGGAAGGGCCGGGAGTCGTGGAGAGAGCCCAGGCTGGCCCTGCCTTCCTTCCCCGCCGGCCCGGCCCGAGTTTATGGATAGTCCCGGGATAGCCCTGGGATGGCCGACCTGACTGAGGCAACTCCACTCCCAGGTCGGACCTCACAGCGGAAGGGCGGCCCTCACGCCTCCTGCTAGAGGAGTCACAGTTTTATTTGCTTCTGTATGAGACAGGTGGATAAACAGAAATAGCCCACCTCCTTTTATGTATTTTTTTTTTTTTTGCAACAACGGAGAGCCAGGCACTGAGCCAATCAGTTCACATTATCTTCTCCTTATGTACATTTTTTAATCCACATAATCCGTTCAGGCTGATTTATCAATCCCTCTTTACAGATAAGGAAACTGAGGCATACAAAGTTTAAATAATTTCCCTTAAGTCACACAACTTAGCAGGCCTCAGATTTGGCAGCGCTTCACTCCAAACTACTTAGAATATACCAGTCAGAGCCTTTCCCTCCCTGGGTTCCTGCCCTAGAAAACGGCTGTGCTACTTGGCTGAGGTCGACATTCTGCTTGAGCTGAGAAAGAAGAGGGGAAACGGGCCAAGAACTTCCCAAGGCTGGGTTGTTCCAAGGTCGTCAGCCTCTGCCCATCCCTTCTTGCTCTCTGTGAGATAACCTGGCTACACAATCCTTTCCTGTCCTCTCCTGTGTGTCTTTAACATGGATTTATGTAGAGTCACAGAAACAAATGCCACCGAGGTAGGCACGATCCTAAGCAGCTCCTTGTGCTATCTCTTCATGCGAACCACAAACCCCATGAAGACCACACAGCAGTTATTTAGGTACCTTTCTTTTCTGTATTAGAGGATGTTTTTACTGAGGATGGAATTCAGGCCCAGGGAGGTTAAATATGCTAAGGAGCCAAAAGTGATAGCACTTGCCTGCAATCCCAGACCTGGGGAGACTGAGGCAGGAGAATGGCCACAAGTTTAAGGCCACCAAAGCATGCATACATACATACATACATACATACATACATACATAAATTCAGCAAAGTTGGGCTCAAATCCCTGTGGCACAATTTTACAGTGTGCCCACCTTAAATTCCCAGGGCCTCAGTTTACCCCTCTGTAAATGGAAAATATGTATGCAGTTAATGAAATCTGTTATAATTTGAGCACCTTTAAAAACACTGTCCAAATGAGAGGGCAGGGGGTCCTCAAGGTCTGGAGATAAATCTGTAAGTCCTTCTGCCTCCTCCCAGACTGCACTTTCTCTTAGAAGGAGCGGGACCTGTGGGGACTACAAGGGGAGAGCCCCTACGAGCATACACCACACAGTTGGAAGAACAATGTTCCTGTGGTGAGACTGAGGCAGGAAGTGAGTCAGAGTTCTTCCTCAGGCTGTGAGCAACAGCACCCATTTAGGGGAAATACGGACAGGGTTGGCCCTATCTAGCAAGGGAGCCCCCCCCCCGCCCCTCCCAATTGTCCTGTGACCTAAAAGAAAGATGACCCCAGAATGAAAGCCTCTGTGGTTCCACCCATGCTTGGAGGCTGGCCCAGAAGCATCTCAGTAGATGTTTGGAAGGGAAGAATTAGCCAGAACCCAGGCATGACTGTTTTCTCTTGCCAGCCTTCCCCGCTGATGCTGCCTTGAGAGGCAAACAATCCGGCGCTTCCTTGAGGGAGAGGGATTTGTGGAGGAACTGGGCAGGTGAGCAGTTTCCTGGCTTAACCCCCACCTGCTTCCACTCTGTCCTCTCATTTGGAAGCTCGCATACATTTCTTCCTCGGCTTAGTTAGAGGGAGGATGCCTTACCTTTCTGAAGCAAGCCCTGCAGGCAGGCATTGACTCCTTAGCACTCTCTGCCCACTGACCTGAAGCCTAAGCACCCAGGAAGCCAGCTGCCTCTGACACTCCTGAGGAGCCCACCATGGTGCCACTTACTATTCTATAGACTCCTTAGGACTTGGAATGACTGGAGCTGTAGAGATGTGAGGAGTGGGGCTGTGAGGGGCAGGGGTAAGAGGAAGGGCCAGATCTCGATCCTTCTAACTAACTATAGAGAGCTGTAGAGCTAAAATCTACCTAGTCCCTTTGTCCCTGGAGGGATGGGCGAGCTTTCTGCTGGCTTGCTGGCTTTCTCTTACCTGAATCTTTAGTAGTGTTTCCATAGCTCCTATAATACAATAATGAAAACTTCAAGTCATTCGAAAGAGGGTAAAGTCTGCCCATACTTTACCATCTAGCTCCCATGATCCATCCGGAGTGCTTCTGCTTCCCTGTTGGCTGCTGGTGACCCGGTGAGGTTCTTGTCACGCCAGACAGTAACTTTCCAGTTCTGGCTAAACTACTTTGGGAAAAAAAAACCCTTTATATGACAGGCCAACTAGTGTCAGTAGGTGGGGGGAGGAGCTTCAAGCTAGATGCAATCTGGTGGTGACATATCTGGTCACGTTGGAACTGGATCCCAACATGACTAGCCTTTCTCATTTTCTCGTTTATTGGGGTGGGTCTGCACTTACCTTTTACCGCTGGCTCCTCTGCATCCCGCACTTGATGGTTTAATGGCTTGCTTTGGCTAGCTGTATGTCTTCAGCCTCACCTTCTGTGTCCAATGACTGCTACCCACAATTAGGCACCTAATAAATGCTTTGGGTGCAGCCCTGTTTGCTAGGCATTCACTGAATACCTGCTGGGTGCCTTGCCCTGGTTCCCTTAGGGCTTGTTCTCAGGAAGCCAGAGTTGTCTCTGACCTGAGACTCAGCAGGGTCCTTACCTTTATTTACCTTTGTGACCTCGCCACTCCAACCAGCCCACTGCTACTCCTTCACCTGAACAGCTGATCACCATCACTTGGCGTTGAACTTCCCCATCCATTTGTGGTCTGGTAGAGGGTTTCTCTACTTCAACAGATCTGTCTCCATGGTGTGCACTGACTGGGCAGCAGAGAACATTGGCCAGTCTCAACACCAGATGCAACTCCCTCAGTAATAATGTCCCCAAGTTCCTAAACTTCTCAGATCCCTTCAGTGACAAAGTCACTCCCCCAGGGAAACCTCTGGTCCACAGTAAGACATGGAAAGATCACAAGAGGGAGGTGAAGATGCCATCTGGAGGCATAGCTGGGAACCACATACCCAGATGGCTCTCAAGGGCCAAGCCACCTCTTAGGGCAGTCGGACAATGGAGTGATTTCCTGTTCAGAGCAAACGATGTTACACATCTTCCTGACATCTGAAGGCAATACTTTCAAAATGTTAATGATAAGGTGAATCAAGGGCCATACTCTACTGACAGAAGTGGGAAGATGGCTGAGACATCTTAGCATTAGACACTATTCAGAAAGCTCATCTATGATTGCTGGGGGAAGTGAGTAGGGAGGGGCGGGAGGAAGCCTCAGGGTGATGGGCATGCTATCTTGAGTGTGGTGACATTGTCATGGGTACGTACATGTGTCAAAACAGTAAGTTGTATACTTTAAATATATGCAGTTTATAGTATGTCAATTATACTTCAATAAAGCTGATTTTGGTTGTTTACAGTTTTAGCACTTCACAGACATTACTCTGAACATTCACTTACAGAGCAGCCCATTTTTCAGTTATACTATGCATGAGAGTTACTATAGTACTGACATAATAAACGCCTGGTTACACTTATAACCCCACCCTCAGAGAGGCTGACAGTTGGTTTCGGTTTGAGACCAGCCTGGACTACATGAGTGAGCCCCTGTCTCCGAAAGTGGAATGGAAGGTTCAGGGCTGCCAAGAACATGGAGAGCAGCTGGCTGGCATGTCATGGAGATGCTGTCCGTCTCCGGGCTCAGGAAAGCTTAGCCTTGTCAGATGACATCAAACTGACATGTCTGGAACAGCGTTATCAAGGGCTCAAGAAATAAAACAATGAATGCAGTGTAGGTAGCCAGGAAAGAAACAGATGATGCTGGAAATTACAGGTTCCTTCACTAACTATAATCCTTAAGCCAAATACTACAAGGGAAAAAGTCAGCTAATACCTGGGTACACCTGGGGAGCCAGCCTGCCTGAGCGGCCTGGGAGGGAGGCCTGTGAGTGGCAGACACAGGGGCCTCTGCTAGGGGACCAGATTCCTTTGAACTACTAGAGACCCCCCAAGGTCCAGAGAGGCCTTGAGCAGAGTAAGGGATCCACTCATCTCTCTGGTTAGTTAGGTTAGTTGCTGTGATAAAACCCTGACCAAAAGCTACTTGGGGGAGACACAGTTTATTTAATCTTAGGCTTTGCAGTGCATCACTGAGGGAAGTATGGCAGGAACGCACTAAGGGGCCTGGAGGCACAAGAAACAAAGCAGAGATCATAGATGAGCACTGCTCACTTACTGGTTTCCTCAGCTACCTTCCTGTTTCAAGCCAAGGACCACATGCTCAGGATGGTATCCCAGGCCCCAGTGGTGGGTGGGGCTTCCCATGTCAGTAAGCCAATAGGAAAGTGCCCCCGGCATGTCCACAGGTAGGTCTGATGGAGGCAATTCCTCTTTTGAGGGTCCCTCTTCCCAGGTGTGTTCAAGTTGACAGCTGAAG